GCTGCCTGTCTGGCTTTGCTGGAGGATTCCTCCACGATTGCGACCAGTGTGCTTGCGATGGCGGTGGAGGATCTCCCTGACGAGGCGCCCGAGGACGAGCAGCAGCAGGGGGAGCAGTCGCTCCGGGAGCAGTCGCTCCGGGAGCAGTCGCTCCGGGAGCAGTCGCTCCAGCCGTCGTCCTCAGGGGTCCAGCAGGGGGAGCCGTCGCTCCAGGGGGGGCAGTCGCTCCAGCCGTCCTCCTCGTCGTCGGGAGGTTATCACAGGCCCACTGAGACGGTGCGAGTCATGGCCCGGATCATGGAGATGGGCAGGGGCTTGTCGTCCCACCCGCGGGGGCAGGGGCCCCCGGTGGTCGTGGATGTTGACGATGAGGATGAGGACTGAGGAGATGGTCAGGGACGAGTCGTCCCAGGATGCACAGAGGGACGTGTCGTCCCGGGATGCACCCGGAGACCCGGGAACAGGAGGGGGAGTCTCCCTAGTATCTCACTGTAAATAATTATAATAATTAATAAATTTTTAAACAAAAATAATGGTAATTGATGTTAAATATCAAAACTTGAATGAGACAAAATACTAAGATAACATACTTCCAAGTTCACCAGTCTATGCAGCACAGATCATCTCAGAGAGACTCCCGGACTCCTGGCGAATCACTCAAATGAGGGGCCTCGACCAAAATGATCATCAGCCGAGTGAGTGCGAGTGTGTGAGTCTAATTATGAGTCTCATCCGATTCATCTTATAATATAAGACCCTGCCAGGCCACGACATGTTGGTCATCCACCTGGAACAACAGCTCAGTGGCTTGCCGAAATTTTCATTCGACCTGTCTGTCTGACTGACCTGCATCTCTGTGCTTAGCTGTCCCTGAGGTCCGGTGGCTGACAGCATCCTCGCGATGGACGGAGTCATCGTCATCCTCGTCTCGTCGTCATTATTCGTCCGTTTCGGTTCGTCAAGAGTCCTCATAAGCCATCATAACTAACTAACAGACAAACAAACAAGCAAACAAACAAACTAACTAACATTAATATTAACCGCAAATGGGCTTCAGCATATTATATTCGAGTCCAGGGGGGCTGAGTCCTGGGATATGATTTCATTTAAACAATTTAGGGGTTGAGGACTTAGTCTTAAACTAATTATGAAAATGATGCCTCAGGCTGGCTAGGGTTGACGACCTAGGTTGGGCATGTTGGGGGCTAAGGGCTTAGGGGCAGATTGTCCGGTCCTGTCCTCTCTTGGCTTCCTCCTCTGACTCATGTTTGCTGTTCTGCCTCTACTGCTTACTGCTGCCTGTTTCTGGGATGTTTGTCTTCTATTTGTTTTGCACATTTTGGACTTATATACAGATTTCCTTTTTCCTCAGGAACCATCATTGATTTAAAACACTTCGTATTATACCACCCACGAACCAGGTTTTCTCAGATTTATGTTTTGCAGGACTGTTTTTCTACCAGTTTTAGTTCATTTTGCACACCGTCAGATTCCTAGACCCATCAAAACATGCTTATGTCACTTCCCACGAACTTGTGCTAAATAGCAACATGGTATATTCCCTAACTTCTTGACACGTATGTTCATGCTGAACATGTTGGGCCTTGAAACCGTTTTGCATTTGCGAATGAAAACAGAGAACCTTCTCAGAAGCATGTTTTCCCAATTTTGCTTCTGAGAAGGGGCGCCGTGTCAGCCCAGCCCCCCCAAAGTTGTCTCAACCACGTCCCCGCCTCCCATGAATGTAAGTTGCCCTCGCCCTCGGACCGGCAGCTTTTCCTGTAATATTTCTGTAGACCACATCAGACTGTTAGCATGTAGGTCCCAGCCGAACCCTAAGTCCTGAAACCTTCGAACCTTAAAGCCCAGTTAAACAAGCCCAGAATCACACCCTAGTGTAGATTGCTCTCTTGCCATCGCCCTCGCCCCATGCAGCACAACAGAGGCTTACCATGTATGTCCCGGCCCAACTCTGATTACAAAACCTTTCAATATCTGAAACCTAGATAATCAAGCAGACCTTCATCATGGCCTGCTATCATCCTCCCTAATCCTGCAGCCCCTGTCAAAGCAATAACCACATTAAACCTCCACCTTACAGTCTCAGAGCCCTACTAAAAACATTTACTTCCTCCTGTGCTCCGAAAGCCCTGCTTAAGCCTCAGCCACACATAACCCAGAACCCTAATCCATGGGTTGGGGATTCATTTTGGAATTTGGATCCTTGGCTGGTCTGGGCATTTGGTCTGGCTGCCCAGGTCGATCATGGCTAAAGTCAAGGACATGCCACGCACTCAGTGACATCCTCGGCACTCTCATGTTTTCAGCCATCCTCTACATTTAGCAACACCCTAAACCCTAAAACCCATTAGGGTTTAGGTGTTATACATGCGCATACTTTATGGATTGTTAATTCAATTACACGAAAATCATTATGAACAAGCGGTTTTCTTTGTATGGAATTGATGTTTCTTTCAACATGACTGTAAAACCTTAAACCCTAAAACCGATTGCATTGAAAACCAATTCCACGTTGCTGAATTGGTTTTCTGTTGGACTGGTTTAAGGGTTAGGTGTTGGTTCTTTACATACAAAATATTTTATAAGTTATTGATTCGATTATAGAATACTGGCTTCCTTATGGATATGATGATGGTTGTAAAGCCTAAACCCTAAAACCAATTGAATCGAAAACCAATTCCATGGTGCGGAATTGGTTTTCGCTTGAACTGGTTTAGGGTTTAGGTGTTTCTTTACATACAAATACACTAATAACCTACTGATTTAAAGCTTAGAAGGTATTGATTCAAATCAATTGAAAGTGATTATAGAATAATGCTTTCTTTATAGAATTGGTGATGGTTGTAAAGCCTAAACCCTAAAACCAATTGGATTGAAAACCAATTCCATAGCGTGGAATTGGTTTTCTCTTGAACTGGTTTAGGGTTTAGGTGTTTCTTTACATACAAATAAACTGATAAGTTATTGATTTAAAGCTGAGAAGGTATTGATTCAAATCAATTGAAAGTGATTATAGAATAATGGTTTCTTTATAGAATTGGTGATGGTTGTAAAACTTAAACCCTAAAACCAATTGGATTGAAAACCAATTCCATGGCGCGGAATTGGTTTTCGCTTGAACTGGTTTAGGGTTTAGGTGTTTCTTTTCATACAAATAAACTAATAACTTACTGATTTAAAGCTTAGAAGGTATTGATTCAAATCAATTGAAAGTGATTATAGAATAATGGTTTCTTTAATGAATTGATGACGGTTTTAAATCCTAAACCCTAAAACCAATTGGATTGAAAACCAATTCCATAGTGCGGAATTGGTTTTCTTTTGGATTGGTTTAGGGTTAGGTGTTTGATACACAAAACTATTACATTGTATTGATTCAAATATAACGGTATACAAATAATGTTTGTTTGTTCAAAGTGATTGCATATTGTCAACTTTTAAACCTTAAAACCGATTGCGTTGAAACCCAATTCCGGACTGCGCAATTGGTTTTCTGTTGGACTGGTTTAGGGTCTACGTGTTCTTACATACCTGGTAGTTAATTATTACACAGGCTAGACAGAAAGAGTTTCCTGCAGCAGTTTGGATTTCAGCATTTCTGCCCGGGGCTGCTGGTATATGTAGTTCCATCCATGTGATTATCGTTTCTGTTCATTGACATATGCATCTATCTAGTCATTGCTGCCATGGAACATAAGCGGAAGCACGATGCTGATGCAGATGTTGGAATACATTTGCTGAACAAAACAATGAAGAAACATCCAGAGACTGTGAATCTGTTGCTGCAGACACTGCGACAGAAAGGCTACGACCTCGCCGAAGGGTTTGGTCAAGCCCCTCGTCCTCGTCCTGTGGAAAATGGCAGTGAAGAATGGCTGAAGGAGAAATACCGTGTCATCGAAGATCTGACAGTTAAGCGGCTGGCTTATCTTTTGGCAAAGCTAGATGCCCTCGCCCTCGAATTCAGCCCTGGTCATGTCTCTAGAGAGGTATTTGAATTGAAGGGTGCAGCAAAGAACGACCTTCTCATCGCCCTCGAGTTCAGCACCGGCCTCACCCGCAAGACACCTTTGCAGGATGCCTGCAGGCATTGGTCGTTTTTTGTCGACATGTGCTGCTTCTTGTGTAGACAGCGACAACGAAATCCTTTTGACTCTGGAGCTGGGATTTATTCATTGCAGCCAGCAGATGTGATTCAACATCGATTCACTTCTCAAACCATTCATTTGGGACATCCCATTTCTGGCATGGAGCTGCGCTTCAACTTTTCTGAAGGCAATGCAAGGGTGGTTGATGCAGATGAGAATGTGGTTTGGAGCTGTAAAGACTTGTTTCAGTGTCATGTGGTGAATGACAAGATTGCAATGCCCAGGCCATCAAAGGAAGTTTTGTTGCAATTGGCTGTTGCATCCTCACCATGGTCCTCATCACCATCTTCGGCCTGTTCACAGTCTCCGTCCTCAGTGTTGTCATCAGTCTCGTCCTCGCCCTTGGTTGCACCGATTGGAAACACATCTATCCTTACACCAAGTCCAAAACGGACAAGACGCTCTCCAGATGTATATAATGATGCGCATGAAGAGCCACCGCCCCCTTAGACAGAAAAAGAAGTTGTCAGGAGAGTCGTGATAAAGCAGCCATGGCACCATTTTTCAGATGTAGCTTGCTCTGCAATGGAAAGTTCGAGAGATCAAGCCACATGGATAGCAAGTCTCACATGTTCATGACCAGGCATCCTGGGCTGATCGTCTTCCCCTTTGGCAGGCCACTGCTTGGTCTCTTTCGAGGTCGCATTGAGATTCAGTGACATTGGGTGCATGTGTGTGTTCTTGTGTATGTCCATGTCAGAAAGAAAGAGAAAGCTCACATGTTCATCACAAGGCATCCTGGGCTGATCGTCTTCCCCTTTGGCAGGCCACTGCGCGATCCCTTTTGAAATAGCATTGTGTTTGAGGGACATTGCGTGCATGTGGTGTGCAATGCTGTCATGCAAGTCCACTCCTGCTGCATCACCTGATCAAGCCTGTGTGGTGCACTTTGCTGTACACTTTGTCACTCTCGACCTCGTCCTCGGTCTCGTTCTCGCCATGGCCCTCGAATTCCATGATTTCTGCCTCGATGAAGAGATCTCAGCAATCAAGCGGGAGATAATCGAGAACGTGTCGATGGATGATGAGATGAAGGAAAGGGTACGCCAAAACAAAAGGTTCGTCCTCGTCCACGGTATGAAAAGCGGATCTGAGAGAGCAGTGATCGCAAACCAAGTGACTCAGATGCTTTCAAATCTTTGCACATTTCACATGGATCTTTCTGGCCAACAAGCTGTCATTCAGCAGCTAAGGCACTGCTTCGCCACATTGTCGGCCTCGCCTACCGACGCAAAGACTTGAAGACGGTGGCGAACTTTCACCGCGTCCTCTGCCGCGTCCTCAACCGATGGCAGGCTGGAGAAGGGAGCCATGGAGAGACTGAGAGAGTAACAGTGAGAAAGACCGATAGACTGCCTGGCTTTCATTGCAACTTCTTCTGCTCTGTTGTCTGCACAGATGCTTGGCATCCCGAAGAAGAACCTCCTGGAGGACGCCCACTTTTTGAAGGGCCTCGTCAACTACCACTTGCGCACCTCATCTTAAACATGCTTTAATAAAATCAATTCAATCTTTCTTTCAGGCTGTGTCCTTATCAGTCTTCAGTCCATGTCCTAGATCGGCTTCTTGCTGTCTTACCAAGATTTCTGAGGTTTGGCAGAGCGCTGCAAGAAGCATCGTCATCCGGCCCTCGCCCTCTTGACAGCCGCTTTGTTGGCCTTCGGCTTGCTCCACCGTGTAATTGTTATGTATCTCATGTGAACAGCCAATCAGGATCTCGTTCGTGCAGAAGCCGGAGAACAAGATGTTGGTCGTCCTCTTGCAGACAATGCTGCTGATGATGACCAAATGGTGAATCTCTTCTTGGTTAGTTAATTGCTATGGAGCCATCATGTGCTGTAATCTCATGTCTCTTGGCTTCCCTGCAAAGTGCTTTGCCTGTTTCATGCCAGCCAAGGGAGGCCTGACGTCCTGTCGCCCTCGGATCACAGGCTGATATTTTTGTTGCTGAGTCCCTGTTGTGGACTGGCTAAGGGGAGACAGTGTTGCCGGTGGCCTTCAGCAGTCCATGTCCTCATGAATGAATCGTCCTCAGATTAGGTAATCGTCCTCAGATCCGGTAATCGTCGTCCTCAGATATAGGTGTTCAGACACAGTTGGAGTGAATGTGCAGCAGGCCAGCAGCATCACGATACATTGTAGGAGATCTGTGGCAGCATCTGGCAGCTGACAGGAAAAGCATGGTGTGCCTTCTGCTGTGAAAGTGAAGGCTTTTCAGCAGAAATGATCTTCTGCCTTGTGCCACACAAGTGCCTGCCGTGTCCTGACTTGGTTCAGGAAAGGTGGTACATCACAGCACAGCTTAGATGTGTAGAAGCACACAGAGACAACTACAGACAGACAGTCGTGATCGAGGGCTGCAGATGCCAAGACCATGTCGTCCTCGTACTTCTGATTTGACTCTCTTCTACATGATGCATTGAGAGTCCATCTCTGAGAGCTTTACGTTGACATTCACATTGCCATGGCAGCTGAGCCTGCAAGATAAGTCAGGATACTGAATCGTTGAATATAAAAGGAACGTCTAGCAAGAGCCTGGGCAGCATATCTGGAGCCACATGTGTGTTTGCATCATAGACGGGAAGTCCATCATACGCACATGCTTGTGTGCTTTCAGGAGATGGTTATCCCAGAGCCAGCCGTGTCACTTCCTGTTCTCAGACATCTGGCATGTACGATGCTTTGCAATGAGATGGTCCCCGGCATCTGCTTAACATTGCGAGATCGTCCTCGTCCTCTGACCTGTGCAGAGGTCAGAAGACATGTGCTAAGCTCACTGTGTTCAGATTGTTCTGTAGACAGCCAAATTTGGAGCTGGCAGAAAAGTTCTGCAGTTTATGAATGGCCAAAGCAGCACTCCAGACTCATGCCTGCAAAAGCTTGTGAGCACCTGCAGCAGGTGAGTCATCCTTCACTTCCTTCCAAGGCCAGCTGTCCCCAGATTATACAGTTGAATGATGCACAGCTGTGTAGTGGCCTCTCATGTGGTCCTTCGCCCTCGTCGCTGTGAACCTTTATTGGCCAAATGTCTGGGCCTTGGCAGGGGCTCCGATTCTTCCAAGTACAGAATTACTCTGACATTGTCAGGGGTTCTAAATGCATCATTTGTCAAGTATGGACAAGCAGTGTCTTCCCAGTATTGTGTTATCATCCTCTTTGCAGGCTCAAGGCTAGAGGTGGGGCCGGTGGGTGAGGAGATATTCCTTAATTGCCAGGTGTTAACAAAACAGGGTCACCAGACTGTACAACTGTTATACCCTGGTGGCTGTAGCGTCGATTTGTTCAAGGAGATTTATATCTTTTTTTTGCTCGGATTTACAACATGCAGGACCCAGCAGGGTATAACACTTAGTTATACCTTCCAGGTGTAGGGCTGGATTGCACAAGGACATGTATTCCCTTATTGCTAGGCTTTTAACAAAACAGCGACCTGCTAGGGTATAAGAATTTGTTATAGCCTGCTGGGTGTAGGGTCCGATTGCTCAAGCGGGTATTCTCTCTTATTGCCAGGTGTAAAAGACAAAGGGACCAAGAAGGGTACATTGACTAGGGCCGAGTTGGGCAAAGATATACCCTCCTAACTTCAGGTTTCAAAACCCAAACCCAGGAGGGTATAACAAATTGTTATACCCTCCTGGGTGTGGGTTCGCCAAATAAATATTGATTTATGTTATAGTATATTTTATTTTTTTTTTAGGACCAGGACCCAGGAGAGTATATCCTATCATGTTGAGAAAAAAACAAAACGAGACCCCAAACCCAGGAGGGTATAACAATTTGTTATACCCTCCTGGGTTTGGGTTTTGAAACCTGAAGTTAGGAGGGTATATCTTTGCCCAGCCCGGCCCTATAGAGTATAACCCTTGCATGTCAGCCAAAGCCTGTCTGCTTTTGTTCCTTTGTGATTGGGCTCCTCGACACTGGTGTCTCTGGGCGGCGCTTCGCGCCGCCCAGCTTATTGACTCTGGTGGCTCTGGGCGGCGCTTCGCCCGGCTTATTGACTCTGGTGTTTGTGAGCGGCGCTTCGCGCCGCCCGGCTTATTGACTCTGGTGTCTCTGGGTGGCGCTTCGCGCCACCCAAGGCTCCTGCTTGTTGGCTGCTGCGCCTTGATAATTCGGCTTCTCCACTGCCCATGGCTCCCTGTTGTTCTCTGCTGTTGTTTCCTGGAGACTTGGCTCCTCGACTCTGGTGTCGTTGGGCGGTGCTTCGCACCGCCCAACTGTCCTGCTTCTCTGCTTTTGCATCCTTGTGTGCTTTTCTTTCAATGTTCCTGGGGTCAACCTTGCTCGGATTTGGCTTTGCTTGTGTTTCGTGGGGGAAACTACAGAAACCTTTTCTCATATGGCCCAGTAGAACCTTCTGTGAGACTGTGTGCCAAGGTCCTAGCACTCTCTCATCACCAAGGCCTGTCTGTCATTCCTGCCTCACCGGATGATCATGTCTTTCTGTTGTCACCATGACGTGATTTCAGCTTTGGTCTGCTGAGTGACCCTGCTCAAGACTGGAGTGCAAGGATAGGAGCCAAGGTGACAAGAATGGATTGTAATCTACATTGTCCAATATGACAGTGTTTGATTGTTGGCCAATGTCCGAGATTCACATAAGGCCTCTTGAACAGCAACCATGGCGTGCTTTTGCTTTCAGCTTGGCTGCCCAGACTGTGGGCCCAAACTCTGTGGGACACATCGGGCACCCTCACACGCGGCCTCACCTTCACCCTTGGGCTCGTCCTCGAAGATGTTGGGATCGTCCTCGAAGATTGGCAAGCCACTTTACAGCACATCAGCTGCAAAAGCACATGTCTTGTTCTTTCACTCTCTCTGTCTGTCAGGCCATCCAAGAAAAATGCAGCACTGGCAAAGAAGGAGCCAGCCAAGAAGAAGTTCCTGTTCATGGATTTACGACATGCCAGGACTGCTTCTTGGATGTCAGCTGTGTCTTACCCGCCATTGACCGAGGCAAAGATGCCAAAGCCATGTGCCATCACAAGAGCAGGACTTAGCAAGGCCCATGGACTTTGTTTCAGGCTTTAGGATACATCCTGGCTGGTTCCTTGGTTCGTGGGGGTTGTTGCCTTTCTTAGGTCATGTCACCACCTCCACATGTCCTGAGCATTCATGGGCATAGCATCTTATTCTGACTGTGCATTGGTCCAGGCCAGCAGACTCGCCCACGAACTCGACGGCAGCAGCAGCTGCACTGCGCGAGATTGCAAGGCCTCTTTGGAAACCAATCTGCTGCCTTTGCAGAAGGTTGTTTTCAACATGCATGTCTTTCAGGCCAATGCAGCGACATGTGGAGGTGGTTTCGGGGACACCTGCCGAGTTCCTTTTCACGGATTTCAGACATGTCATTTCAGTTCTTGCATTTCACTGTCACAGACCTTGGCTGAGGCGAGGATGCCATGGTTTCATACACTCGTCCTCCTCTTCCTCCTCATCCAGGACCTCACGACTTTTTTTGGAGGTCTTTGCAGGCAGCTCTCGTCTGGCAGCAGCGTGCTGTGACCATGGCCTCCCTGCAGAGTCCTTTGAGATCCAGCGATCTCTGGAAGAGGACAGAAGAGGGCCCGTAGGCCCAACCTGCAATGTTTCCTGCTACTTTGCATGGCAGGACGTCATGGCACCAGAGAACACAGTCATGCTGGATGAGATCATCCAGAACTCGTCTCTGTCCTCGGCCACCTCCTGCACGTCCTCGTCGTCCAAAGATCGCAAAGCCCTCGCCGTCTGGTTTGCCACAGAATGCAAGAGCTTTTCAAGGGCACGACGTGGAAAAATCCCAGCCGAAGGTGAGGTGAGAAAGAAGGGTGGATTCCCGCCACCACTTCGAACCAGCGAACACGTCCTCGGCCGCCCAGGGATGAACTTCAAGGACCGAATGAAGGCCGGCTCTTCTGTCTGTGTGCTGTTTGCACAGCTGAAAATTATGTCAATGTGTAATCATCCTGCTTCTCAGGTCGAGGAGGGCAATGCTGCAGCTGACTGGACAGCCAAGAGGGTGCAGAAGTGCCTGGACAACAACGTCCTCGCCTTCATGGAGAACCCTGTGTCCTCGTTTTTCTGGTTGCATCCTGCCATAAAGCCCTTGGTGCCACTCGGTTTCACAGCAATGCAATCTTTCTGTGTGACAGGCAAGTGTGTTTAGCAATGAAATTTTTCAGCCAAGGCAGCAAGGGCGGGTATACAAATTGGCGTATTGCCAATACAACAACGGGGGACACAAGAAGCCGACCCAGATCGTTGCTTTCTTCCCCGCCCACGCCTCCGTCCTCAACACCGTCCTCGACACCGACCTCGAAACCGCCCTCGACCACGTCTTCCTGCCCTGCAGGGGCAGGAAGTGCTCAAAGACTGGGGCCAAGCACCCATCTTTGAGTGGGCCAGCCAGGAAGGGATGGAAGACGGCGGGTGCAGCGACGTATCCAAGGGTGTTCTGCCAGAAGTTCGCTGCCGCCCTCGCCGCTAACGTCCTCGCCGGAAAC